ACTATTGCAGCCGCAAAAGCCCCTATCTCCGTGTACTGGGTCACGTGCCTGATCAGCCAATAAAAACAAAGGACGCATATAATTGTTCGCTGTCCACACATTGTGTATATGAGGTTGCATATATTAAGGAGCGTAGCTCGCGTCGCAATAAATAATAATATAAGCTCCTAGATTTATTTTAGCGCGAGTACATTTGGATTCTTTAAATATTTTGTTGATATTTAATATGATTAAATACATAAAATTTTATGTGTTCTGCAGCTCCGCAGCTCTTATGGTAAAACCGCCACTGCTTGTAGCGATTTTATGGTTTTTGATTTTATTTACAAATAAATGGTAACTTTCCATAAAGACTTATTTATTAAACTCAAATTTCTAAATTTTTCAGTTATTAATTTTTATTTTAAATAGTGTAGCTAGACAACTAATAAATTTAATAAAAATACCCTTACAATATTTTTCCCGACAAAGGAACGGGCGCAAATCCGGTATTTTACATAAAAATGGGTTTTTGCAAAAACTACGCAACTTAGGTATAGGGAAAGCTATTGAAAAATTGTAGGGTCTACAGAAAGGCATCTAATAAAATCATAAAACACAGGGTGTTCTATTTGAAAAAGTCGACATTTTTCAAATTTTAAATTATCAGGTTTGGCACGATTTTTTTTGCACCCTGTATATCGCAGGTCAACTTTTGATACGTTTTTTGAAAGAGCCATCTTCACTCTACAGATCCGGAAAAAAATAATTTCTAGCTGTCATACAATCATAATTATGACAACTGCTAGAAGTGACGAAACATAAGAAAAAAAAATGAGAAGTCGATTATCTCTAAAACTATCAATATTTTAATAGGGATCAAAACACAAAGTCTCGTTAATTTTTCACGTAGAATTCGATAATGCCATAAAAAAACATAGGTTTCCGTTTAAAAAAATTAAGTTGGTACCTGCCCAGGAAAAACTGAACACCCTGTATATGCAAATATATTTTCATTTTGTGTAGTTCGGGAAAGTAGGCAACTCTGTAGAAAAAAAAATAAGTTATATCGTTTATTAACCTAGATATTGGACTTACGTATAGCACAAATATTGACATTTTAATTCTGTTTCAAAAATATACTTTAGTTACGTTGAATGAATTTATAAATTTCGAATAAAATTAATATCTCTTCAACACTTTACCGCAGAAGAACCAAATTTGCTACTTGATTTAGGTTTATTACTGGTCTTCTTTGACTATGATTTAAAATTAATTGAAGCACTATAAGGTGTTCATTGGGGATGACTCACCCCTATAATTGTACCGAACTTTATTTTTAAATTGCAATATTTTGGACACCCCTACATGTATGTCGGTTCTTATGCGGGACACCCTGTATATTAGAATAATATATGATAAATTTACATACAGCATAGAACACANAAAAAAAAGTTGTTTTTTAATTATAAATAAATAAAGAAAATAATATATATTGATAAAAAATTGTACAGTTATTACATTTAGTAACATTTATAAAATCTGGATAATTATTG